CTGCTGCGGTTGCTGGTACTTTTGCTGGTACTCCTGCTGCTGCTGCTGCTGCTGCTGCTGGTACTTCTGCTGGTACTCTTGCTGCTGCTGCTGCTGCTGCTGCTGCTCGTTATACTGGTCAATTTTCTTAACAATTGCCTCCCTGAGCTGCACAAGATCCAGCCCCCTTGTGCTAATTTGCTGCTGCAGCAGCTGCAGCACGTCATCTAGCTGCTGGCTGCCGAGGGAAGCAGCAAGACCTTTGCTGATGAGCCCTGTGGCTGCTGCAGCAGCAAGCCTTTCTATTTCAGAGGTCTGCTGCTGCTGCTGCTGCTGCTGCTGCAGGCCGAAGGCAATAGCGGCTATTTCCGCCGTGAGTCGGCTGGGCTCGATGCCCATCTGCTGCAGCTGCTGCTGCTGCTGCTGCTGCTGCAGGTGCAGCAGCAGCTTCAGCACTGCCTCAGGCGTGGGCGAGGCCCCAGTTCGCTGCTCCAAACCCTCCATAACTCGAGCAGCAACCTCGCGAACATCCCTGCAGCAGCAGCAGCAGCAAAAGCAGCAGCAGCAGCATTGAAGGGAGCAGCACGGAGAGTGCCAAGGAGCCGCATGACACCCAGCAGCAGCAGCAGCAGCAGCAGCAAAATCAGTGGGCAGCTTGTACGGATGAGAGTAGCCCCACACACTCTTGGGCTCAGGGTTTAGGGTTTAGGGTTTAGGGTTTAGGGTTTATTGCGCTTACGGGGCGCGAGGTGACCTCGGAGCTGCAGCAGCAGGAGCCCCTAAGGCCGCCTGCAGCAGCAAAAGGGCCACAAGCGGGCCTAGCATTGTAGGCCAAGAAAACATGCTGGCGACAAACCCTAGACCCTAAACCCTAAACCCTAAACCCTAAACCCTCCACCCTAGAGTGTGGGCGGCACCGTGGTGGCGGAAAGCCAGCCAGAAGGCCAGCCAGAAGGCCCCTTCTCTCTGCCGCAAAAGAGGCTGAAGAAGGGTTTAGGGTTTAGGGTTTAGGGTTTAGGGTTTAGGCTGCCAGGAGCGGACAGATAGACAACCAGCGTAAACCCCAAACCCTAAAAGAGGGAATAGTTGGGCGGTAAGGGGTTTGCTTGTGAATTGAAAAGGGAACAAAGTTGAAAGACAATGATGTGGCAACCCACAGAAATCCACCAATAGGGTTTAGGGTTTAGGGTTTAGGGTTTAGGGTTCAGCGATTACGGGTGAGCGGTTTGGGCTCCGGGCGCGGCGGTGTCCGTGAGCAGCAGGTCACCTAAACCCTAAACCCTAAACCCTAAACCCTCAAACACCAAATGTTGACAGAAACTTTTTATTTTTGCTTTCAAACAACCGATATAAACCCTAAACCCTAAACCCTACGTTTTAAACCCTAAACCCTCGCTCTGAGCCGGATGTCTCCCCCCGGTGTTGTTCACTTGCAAACTGCGAGACTGCTGCCCAACCCTAAACCCTAAACCCTAAACCCTAAACCCTAGACATTAAACCCTAAACCGTAGACCCTAAAGGCTAAGCCATAAATCACGAAGGCTGCTTTTCAATGTTAGCTTTCTAGCCTGAGCAGTGCCCAGTTCT